TAGTAAATACTAAACAGGACACAAATACATTACTATAGTCTATACTCTATAGAATAAAGAATAGATCTGATAGAATATCCTTAGGAGTTAGGATATCAAATATAAAACTTTTAGATTCTGAGCGGAGCGAGGAAGTTACCTAGTGGTTTACAATGGTTTTTTTTTTTTTTTTTTTTATCATGTATTACAAGAAGGAGTGCTTCGATTTCAACATATAGTATCTCATATTCTTATATTTTAGCAAATTGGATTAAGATGATACTGTCTTTAGAGAAGTAATTTTTTGATTTTCTAACTAGTTATTCAATTGCCACGGAAAAAACCACCCGACAAATTACAAAACCCCTACAAAAACTGGATTTTTTTAATTTTCTATTCATTTCTAACGCTTTGTTTATCATTGGCTTTGGAAAAAAAAAAAACCTACAAAAAAGGTGGGCTGTAAGTGGTGTGGGTCACTGTATAATGGATGGTATTAATAATCATTGATGATAATATCATGTATAAGAAAAACGATTCTGAGCTATCTCAGACATAGTAGTATATAGTACAAAAAAATTGACCTTAGACCTAGAATTTCAAGCCATTACTTTCGCACGTGATCTAGCATAGATATATAATAGTACACTTAGAATTTCAAGAATATTATACAATCACAACAAAATTACTAAAATAGTTATTCTAGGTTTTTTATTACGTAATTTCGTCCAAATTTGAATTTAAAATGTCTGTAAAAATAACTGTGTTCATATATTTTTTAGATTTTTTGGTTAAAGTATGAACTATTTATGAGAACCTTTGTTTTAAATTTGCAATCCTTAGCTATAAAAACTGAACATTTTATAATTTATTAATTACAATGATTGATAATTTTCGAGATTTTGATAAATTTTGTCAAAATTCAATCTTTAAATGCTTATAAAAAAAAATTGTGCCTATGTATTTTTAATATTTTTCAATTGCTATTGTAGCAATATATCAGGAGCCTTGTATTAAATTTTTACACTTTATGGCCCAACAGATAAAACTTTATTGATATTTATAGAAAAAAAACTAAAAAAATTGAAAACTAAAATGTCCGTAAACAGCTCAAAAAGAGTCAAAATATTTTCAAAATTTTACAGTGTTTAGGAAATGCTAATATCAACATTCAGTGAAATTTTCATGTATCTACAGTTATTCGTTTTGAATTACAACAAAATAAGGAAATCGAGTGAATATCCAATGTTGTAAAATTTGAATTTCCAACCGCTCATAAAATTTAATTTGACTTTCCGGTAGAGATTTTTTTATTGATAAAGGTAGACCAACTTATGAGTAATCTTGTATTAAATTTTCAAACCTTAGATTTAAAAATAAAAATTCTTAACCTTAAAATAATTTGCCAGTTTTCGTGATTTTTCCATATTTTGTCAATTTTGAACTTTAATGCGTATGAAAAAAAATTGTGACTAGGATTTTTATATTTTCATCTGCCTTTGTAACAATATACTAGGAGCCTTCTATTAAATTTCCAAGCTTTCGAAACTTTTTTAAAATTTGACCTCCCGAATGCAACAACTAGATCACTTTCCAATCGAAACAAGATAATGAAGTTGAAATCGAAAGCATTATATATCGACTAATTATCGTGTACACAGACACAAAAAAAAATAAAAAAAACACACATCATTGTAAAATCAATACATTCATCATTCCACTCAGAATCTAAAATAGCATCGCTCTGATTTACAGTAGGTTAAAAGTGCAGCTCCCCACTACATGGGCCCCAGTATTTTGGGAGACGGGGGAGCGAACATTTTGTGGTCGAAAATTTGTACCCTGCTTGTAAATTATTAAAACTTTTAAAATTAAAATTATTTCAATAATAGTATTATATAATATTAATGTATTGTGCTGTTTGAAATTAAAACAACTACCTGAACTACCTACCTAACGTATTTATAGCAATATAACTATCAGCGTCTGAAAATTATTAATATACCATATACCTAATAATAGGACGCTACACAGTACACATACCTACATATTTTGTTGTCTCCATCTTACAAGTGCGTAACATAGCAATAATTTTAAGGTCAGATTAAGTTCTTATAGACATCTCATAAGCTTTTTATTTTAAAGACGGTTATGAGTATTTTAAAATTGTAAATTGTTTGTACATCTTAAAATATTCATGACTTGCTTTAAAATTAAAATATAACAAAGGTGGATAAGTGGATGTCACTCCGCTGTATTGACTTCACTGAAGTTCAAGTGGGTCACTGTATAATGGCAGTGGCGGTTTTGATAAAACATCAAGGGGGGGTAAGGGCCATTTTCAATTTTTAGGCTTCCCCCACCGTAATTAAAGCAATTCAAGCATTTAGTGTAATTTCTATTAAAATAAGGGACATGCAAAGAAAATCCAAGGAGGGGGTGAGCGCCCCTTTCGTCCCAACATAAATACCGCCACTGTATAATGGTGGGTATTAAATTTGAATTCAATGATATAATATCAGTGTATACGAAAAACGATTTGAGCGGAGACGGTTTGTCAGAGTAGGTAGATATTTTTTATTAAATTTATACCTATTGTTATTACTTATTATTAAAACGGTAGCCGGTAAGTTGAATATTATAAAATCACAACAAAATGACCAAAATAGTTATTTAATATATAATTTCGTCCAAATCTAAACATAAAATAACTGTAAAAAAATTATTTTTATTTTTTTGAGAATATCTATAAGATAGATAGCTATAAAAGTTGAACATTTTTATAAATTTTTAACTACAAAATAGTTTTTTTTTATATTATTTCTGAAAATGTTCTTATGTACAATCTGTATTTCATAACACAATAAGTAAACAAGATGACTGTCATAATACAATATACATAATAAAAACAACACATGAAGCTCAAGATGAGGGAAATCATGGTACCCTCTGGAAAATCGTCTAAATTTTAAATTTAATTAATTTTGTAAAAAATTAAACTTTAAATGCTTATAAAAAAAAATTGAGCCGGAGTATTTTTAATATTTTTCAACTGCTATTGTAACAATATATCAGGACTCAGGAGCCTTGAATTAAATTGTCACCCATTTTTTCCTAACAAATAAAATTTTATTGACAATTATAGGAAGAAAAACTAAAAAAATTGAAAACTGACCATAAACAGCACGAATAGGCATTTTCAAAATTTAATGGTGTATGGAAAATGAAAATATAAACATTTAGTGAGTTTTCATGTATCTGCAGTTATTCGTTTTTGAATTACAACAAAATAACAAAATCGCTACATGAGAAACTGAGTGAATATTGAATCTTGTAAAAATATGAACTTCAAACGCTCATAAAAATGTAATTTAATTTGCTTGTAGAATTTTTTTTTGTTAATAAAGGTAGACAAACATATAAAGGAATCTTGTATTACATTTTCAAATTTTTTTTTTTTAATTTTTTTTATAAGAAAATTTACAATCTATACAATTTGCACAATAAGTAAATATAATAATTGACATAAATACATAATAGCACAAGATGAGGGAAATCATCCAGCGATGGTACCCTCCAGATTTTCAAATTATAGATTTAAATAGTAAATTTTTTCTATAACAGTTTCTTAAACAGTTCAAAACAAATCAAAATGTTTTGAACATTTTATCATGTATAGGAAATGCTAATATAAACAACCAGTGAAAATTTCATATATCTTAGTAATTTGTTTAAGAGTTACACCAAAAACCAAAATTGATTTTGTGTAAAAATTCCCGGTTTTTCTTAATCTTTTATTTGTTTTCTCGGTGCTTTAAATTTTAACCTCCACAATGAATCAACAATATTCACTTTCCCATCGAACTTTCGACTACTTATCATGTACAGACACAAAAAACAAAATAATAAAAAAAAACACACATCATTGTAAAATCAATGCATTCATCGCTCCACCAGTCCGCTCAGAATCTAATAGAAAATAGATAAACTAAAAGTAATAACTAATAAGTTTTTAATTTTAAATAAAGATACTTTGCAAAAGTATTTAAAATACTTTTTTCAAGTACTTTACAACAATGCATGTAATCTATCATATATTTATTAATAACTTAAGTTCAAAAAAATAAATAAAAAATGTCATTATATTAGTCCTTTAATTTATTTAAAAAATCTGTAATATGACAAACACATCATATATAATATGCCTATTAGTTAAACAAATACTAACATCATTCTTTTATTTCAAAATATGTAAAACTATAAATAAAACAACAAGATTAAATTATTAAATAATAAACTAACAGTCTTTAAGAAACTTTTAAGAATGAAAAAACCATTAGGATTTTTCGGAAAAATATTTTAAAAAAATTACAAATAAATTTAAATAGATCATTATTTAGTATAGCACCTAATTAAATTAAAGTCCTTGATATATATAAGATGTATACAAACACAAAATAATAATAAATATTTAAAGAGTAAGCTATTATGTAAATAGTAGTTTTTTCGTACAATTAATGTTTTTCTCAGAAAACCAATTGGGTATATATTTATTTTACCACAGCTCACTTAAATTGTGCAATGGTGTAAAATCAATTTTTTTCTAATTACCATAATTTTAAATTGTTGTATTAGATCTGGCATCATCACATTGGATATGAGTAATGAGGTGATCTAACTGAAAGAATTCAAATGTATTGGATACAACAAATTCAACATTGTTAACTTTTTTAAGTACATTAGATATTGATGATAAATTAATTACTAAAATAAAATACTTGCTTGTAACAATATTGTATTGTATATTATGTTGAACAAACTAAAATGAAACCAACAATTTTAAATAATAATTTAGATTTTTTTCTTAAAGAAGATTTAATCATGTTCAATACCAATAAAGGCCTTGATTAAGGATTATATTTATATTTTGATTTAAATGGCCGTGATCCAAAAAAGGTTAACAACTTTTAATGTTTCCTAATTTTTTTTAAATAAATAAATAATGTATATTATGTTTTATACTAGGGACAATTATGTATAGAAAATATTATATTTTCTGCAGTATTTGCAACAGCTTTTTGTTTGCTTGGTGTCATCTTCCGTTTTTTTTGATTTTTTTTTAATATCCCACTTTTTTTCATAGTTTTACTTTTACGTAGTGGGATTGATTTAATTTTTGGTGCTACAGCAGCAATTGTCTTAATGGGTTGCAATAATTTGGATGTAGTCGGATTCATCAGATCATATGATATTGAAGATTTCTTTATCTGGAATAAATTTAGTAACTTAAAATATCTAACAAAACTATATCTAAATAAATAAAACAACAATCTAATATTTAATAGCCAGTTGTATATAGTTAATTTGTAACTAATTATTTTAATTTAATTATGTAAATTACAATTATTTAAAAAAAAAAAATGCTTATTACACATATATTTTGATTTAAAACAAAAAATTACTACCAAGCAAAGCTAAATATTTGTAAGCAAGTATAAGTCATAAATATATATCACCAAGAGCCACAATGAAAAACTATATATAGAATTGTATATTCTTACTTATAGGCTAATTTCCATTATTTATACACAAATGTTGGAAATAGTTGAGAACCTCTTTCAAAATAAAGAGCCATTAAGTTCTCTTTTTCAAGTTTAAAAACTAAAAAAAAAAGCTTGGAATGGATGCTTTTCTAAGAGCATATAAAAAGAATAATATTTAAATTGCAATAAAATAATAAATTTACTTGTTTTGATGTAATTGGTGTATCAACATTTATGTTGCTGGTAGATTTTGATCCTAATCGTCGATTACGGCTACAATTGTTAATAATATTTGAACGTAACAGCTCCCTTAATCCTGCTAATGATTTAAATTCACTGCTATCTAACCGACTGTTTGGATTTAAATTTGATAAATCCAAAATAGAAATCGCCAATGATTTTCCAACCTATAAAAATAGAAGCAATAACATATTTTTGACAAAAAGTTATTACATGGCAGTTTTTAACCTGCTCGAAAACGGTTGGTGTAAATTTTGGTGGAATAACACTCTGGATAGGTCTTCTCTCAGAAACAAAATGTACTTTAGGAGGAATATAGTTAACAAATCTGCCAGTATTGTAGTTACATTCTAATGTGTAACTGCGTATGAGACCTGTATATTTAAGAACAGCTACTCGACCACTTCCTTCTTTACTTAGACCAAATTTCTTATCCCTGAAAATTTAAAACTTAATTACCATTTAAAATTTTTCAACCTTGAATTGCACAACTAAAACAAAATTACATTTTTTCGTGCTCTAATCAAATTGTATAAACTACAATAGCTGAATAGGAGGACATATTTAATAAGATTAATATTAATATTTGTATTATTATTCTGTTTTCAGTACATTAAATGTATAATTAAATCTTATAAATATTATAGTTATGGAAGTTTGCACTATAAGTAATATACTACATATATAATGACAAAAAACTATAATTAAATAAGTTAATTTTAGATTTCTTAATAGTTTTTTAGAATAATTTAGTTTTAACTTTCACTATATTATAAATCTTTGAATTTTTTGTTTTCAAAATAAAACAACAAGATCTTAAATCTAAAATTGTAATAACCCTTTCATTGCTTCAGACGTGCTATTACATTACTCTATACTATAATATTAACATTTGCCGGTAAACACACAATTTTAGGCCTGGTTCGCATTATTTATATAATTAGGTCGATTTAAATCTCAACATTTAAATTTAAAAAATACTTTATTAAATGTAGCTCCCACTTCTGAATGTCATGAAGTTTCATCAATGGATGGCCACTTCACACAAGGGCCCCTCAAAAATATTGTTAATTTAATTTAAATTTTTAAAATATATTTTTATGCTTCGATCTTCAACTTCAGTATCTTGTTCAATGGAAAAGTGAATCTAGTAGGTGCATTGGGAAGGTCAAAATTTAAAATTCACAGTATAAGCATTTAAAGTTTGATTTTTAACAAAATTTATCAAATTTAAAATTTCATAATTATTTTGTTGTTAAAAATGTATAAAAAGTTCAACTTTTACGGCTTAGGATTGAACATTTAAAACAAGGTACCATATAAATAGGATATATATATAAATAACTTTATTCACATTAATATCATCATGTATACTTAGTAATATCATAGGCTGACTGACCGTCTTTGCTCAGAATCAATTTTCTTAAATGGCATTCAAATTTAACACCATTTATTACCATGACCCACTTGATATGAAACCTACTGCACCTACAGCAGAGCGACACCCACTTGCCTCCTTTTTTTTATACTCAACTATACAGAATAACATTTACAAAATATTTAGATTAATTTTAAGCTATTGGATATTTATACCCTATCTATTGACACTATTTTACGATAAAATTACTATAATATCCAGACGCAGTTCTAGGACTACACTTTCGTATGGGCAACAGTAGATTTATAATTAGATTTTAACTACGAATAATATTCCTTATTTCCTCCCCCTTCCCCAATAAGGGGCACCAGAAATTTTGGTATGGGCAGCTACCCACCCTGCCCATGCGCTAGAACTGCCACTGATAATATCAATATAAATACATAGTAAAATATTCTTATTAAGACTTCCAATTAGAATAGTTTTAGGTAGGCAATGATTTATTATTGAATTCAAATTTAACATATTATCTATTACAAATACCTATTAAAATAAGAGATACCTTTTGACTGTTCATCACAACTACTTGCCCACTTTTTTTATTCTGTGAAAATAATGTAAGTATTATGCTAATATTTATCAAGATACTTAATTGTATCAATATAATTCAATAATTTAAGTTTTTTTTTTTTGGTTTTAATCAATCAAGTCTTTTATTAAGACTACTTAAAATAGAGGTGATCTTATTTAATTTATGAAATCCCTACTACTGACATAACAAAGATTACTTTTTAATTTTTATACATTAACATAGGTATTAAATATATTATTTTACATTACATCATTTTATGATAAAAACTGGAGTATAATAATTTAATTTCTTACTTAGAATACATATTATGCTTGCTGAAATTACAAGAAGTGTAATGAAAGTTTTGATTGTTTATAGTCATAAGTGTGGGATAAACCATACATTCAATGTTATCAACCATGTTTTCAAAATTATTTCCATACATAAATATCCCTAGTATAAAACATAAATATTAAACATAACATACATTATTAAAAAAAAAAATTTAAGCAACTTTAAAAGTTGTTAACCTTTTTTGGATGCATGGCCATGAAAATCAACATATAAATATAATCCTGAGTCAATGCCTTTATTTGTAAAACAATCAGCTGTACACAATTGACTCTTCTTTAATAAGACATTCAATGAATCTACATCATTATTTAAAATTGTTGGTTTCATTTTAGTATTTAATTCATCATCATTATTGGATGAACTACAAAAAATTGATGTTGAATTTTCTTCGATTAACTCATCTCGTAATTCATATCCAAGGTGATGATACAAGATCAATGATCTATAAAATATATCACAGATTAAATTTATTGAACTTAATTTTAAAATACAAAAGTAGAAAAGTTAAAAAACCTGGCAGCATAAATAGATGGATGAAGTTTCAAAGATGGTTTCAGATAAAACCGGTTGAGATTACAACCTCTAGTATCTGTACGATAAAATCCTCTAGCTACTCCATCTGGATTTAGCATAGGAATTAGTTTGAAAACATAATTTTGACGTAGTATATCAGCTTGTTCATCCTTACTAATTAAATATTTTATCAAACCATTCATCACAAAACTAGAAGGTGTTTCACCTGGATGCACTCTTGCACTCATAACTATGACCTACAAATTAAGTTTTAAAACAAATAAATTGTGGTAATTTTATATCATAAAGATAATTTTTATTAATATAAATTTATAACCATTATTTATTTTTTATCAAATTGATAGATATTACTCCATAGATAAAATTTAATTTTAAAATGTTATTATAATATTTAAATTATATCAGTATAAATATGTTTTTATTTTATTTGTATACCTTTTTATTTTTGAAAACATGTGACCTAGGTTTTTCATCTGGAAATAATCCAAATAAACGGCATTCCCTTTCTTCTGAAATACCTTTAAAGGAACTAATAGTTAATAAATCCACAGAACGATTTTCTAAGGATTTTACTATAGTTTCTCGATAAAAATAAACATCCTTCTCATTGTTTTCTAAATGGTATTTAAAAAAAAATCCTATTAAACACACACACAGGCATGCAATAAAAGAATTATTAATGGGGAAACCAAGTACCTCTTAAATCTGATGGTAATGGAAATTGTTTTTCATAAAAACTTAAGCTGTTACATAACTCAGTGTAAGTATAAGGATAAGTAAAAGCATAATATGTTGTAGCTTCAATATTTTTCAAAGAACGGTGACTAAAACTCAACACAAATTCTTGATTATTGTTTACCTAAAAAAAAGTCAAGTTGAGTCCATTCACTTCTTATAATTTAGGTCATACACACTACACTCTGTAGTGTAGTTCTTATGTAATTTACCAATGAATACATTATTATGTACGCATTTATTAATTATATACCTGATAAGTTGGTATTTCTTTTATTCTTGACCAGGATGCTTTAGAAAACTTTTCATTTAATTTATCTGATTTTCCTAAATCAACTTTAAATACAGGAGTCATGCCTTGACTATACATTTTACTTTGATTATTTGAACTCACTATATTTAATCTTACATGCATACCAGGAATGCCTCCTTTAAAATGATTCAATTAAAAATCTTTAACTTTTTCATTATTATACATGAATGCACTTTTACCTTTTAAGGCAAAGTAGAACCATGACTTGTAGTTGCATTCAAACTCTGTGCCACCACAGTCTGGGTTTGTCCATAAATGAAATTCCAAATCTTCATCTACAATATTACACATTACATATCTTAGCATACACTCATAAAACAAATAGTTTAATAATTGTTATCGCACCAACGCCTGGAATTTGTTTGCAGACATATTTCACCCGAGCAAGATTAGCAGACTCAAAATTGCTCAAAATTGTGTATGAGTTATGGGTAAACACACCCGGCTGTACTTCAGGTACGATGTCTGAGGTTACGTTCATCTTAGTCTTTAGATAATTATATTATGCTTCATAGAAAGTCAATGAGATTAAACATTGAAATTTACCTATTTTTGTGAAAACTTACAAAAGCCGTGTATGAAAACAGTGTATACGTAACTGGCTATGGTGTATGCGTCCTAAGACAACATTTGCCAAAGTTGCTGATGAATTATATTTCAATAACGTTCACATTTCACAATTTCCGTCCAATGTGATCTGAAATAATTACTAACCAAAATATGGATCCCGAATCACGAGAGTTTAAATATATTACTGAGTATAGACTATAGATATACAATAAGATAATAATATTAAATTATTAAACAATAAACATCATTTCATAGGTATCAATAGAAACATTTAAATAAATAAATAAGCAATATGTAAGAAAAAAATAATAATATTATGTTCAAGGTGTTAATAATACCTTTTCTATGAAGTATGACAAGTAATTAGTATGAGCATTGAGGTGGATCCAACTTTATTGTATGTTATTAAGTTAAGCAGCTGATTTATAATCGACCATTCTTTCAATGGATTTGGCCGTCTTTTCCATGACCTTATCATAATGTACATTGTGTTGGTTATTCAGTTATTGTTTTTCATCAATTGCATAGATAAGTATATAATATAATGTCAATGGACTAATGGTATGGGCATTGGAAATTTTGTTTTTGTTATTTAGTTTTATTTTAACACAACACACACCCGTTACCCATTCAAGTAGTTCGTACCTATACACATTTTTTTATTGTATTGTACATAGGTATATAGTTTTAGACTTTTTAGTACCTTTATTAAACGGTTGTTGAATCAATATATATATATTAATATCTATTTTAAAATTTGTTTTTTGACATTTAAAAACTGTTTACGTTGTGTTCAACTTATACTTTCTTAAAATTTTATATTATTTTAAAACAATGGTTAATTCATATACATTTTTTTTATTAGTTCTTATAGCTTTTATTTCTACCATAAAATCTGGTAAATATTATACTGAATATTTTAAGGTGTGGCTTACAACATTATACAAACAATGTTTTATTTATGTTCTTCAGCTGTAAGTATATCATGTTACCAATGCAACAGTACCGACATAGAAAATCAATTTCGTTGTACAGAGTTCATGGATACATACGGCCTGGAACCCAAACCCTGTACAAGTGTTTACAATGCCGCTTATTGTGTGAAACTGGTAGGCCGCTACGAAGGTACCTACTTATATTATTATTATAATTTTTGGAAATGTCCAAAAGTATTGTTCGATAATTTATTATAATTTTTGTTTATTTTAGGAGGACTTGGAGTTACACGTTACTGTTCATCTCATAATTTAGGAAATTACTGCAACTATGTTCGCCGGCCAGGTGATGTATTAGAATATCGAACATGTGTTTATACTTGTGATTCTGATGGCTGTAATAGTTCCAGCCAAGTAAAGTTATTTGCATATTTGATATGTTTATCTTTTTTGCCTTGGTTTAGAAATCTATTATCTTAGACATTAACATTGCCAAAATAATCTGATATAGTAGATTTCATATAGTACTTACATTTTAACTGTTATAATTATTATTCATTATTTTATATATATTTTTATAAAATGATCATAGGTACTATAATAAATTCCACAATTTAAATATACTACCTATTGATGTTCACATATTTTTTTGGCCTTGAAAGTAAGGACGTTTAGTTTTGAAAAACCAACCATAGTATTTTATATTATTTTTATTTTATTTTCTAGAATTTAGCCAGTCGGCTTTTTACAATATTATAATAAATCACTTCCACTTAACAAAAAGTATCCATTTGATGAATAATACATTTTTTTGAAATAATATGCCTAACATTTCATGAAATTAATAGATGTTATTTGACATTGTGGACATTTTTTAATGATATGGATGTGCCTATTGTGTAATTTATTCGTCACTTTCAGAATAAAAAATCTGCATATTATTAATCAATACAAATAATTATTATTAAATTTACATATTATTTTAACTAAAACTAATTTATTTTTATTAGTATCTAGAAAATAAGTTTTAATATCAGCGTATTGGTTTTAATACTAATACTTTTTAATTTAACATTTTTTTGTGTTATTTAATAGTTTAAAACCATAATAGTCAATGACTAAAGGCTAAATAAAAAAAAAAACATAGTATAAAATTATTTCTTTCAAAAAATCAGAAATCAATTGAAACAATGATATTTTAATTTTATACCTATTAGTTTCATTTTTTTTTTTAAATGTATTATTATTATTTATTATTTAATATAACAAATATTATGTTTGAAGGTTTTATCAAATAGTTTAAGTAATATGATATGTAAAAAAAATAATCATTTGTATTAATTTATGCAGTTACGGTATTCTGAAATAGTGATGAATTTGTTTACACAGTATGGACAATGGACTTCCAAATCGTGAAAACTATTTTCATAATGTTGAAGTGTCTGTTTAATAAAATGTTATCCATGTGATTTTTTATAAAGTGTTCTGAGTGCCAAAAATGCACATGGAATTGATATGGATTGTTTAAGGAAGTGTGGACATTACTTTACAAAAGAACAATTTCATTAAGTAAATGTTAACAGTGTTATATATTATTTTTTTTTCTAATTTTCATTAAAAACATTTTTATAAAATTACAAATTATATAGTAATAATTCACAAATACATTTATTTTTCTTTATTAGGAATCTCAAATCATATTAAAAATAATAATAAATTGTTAAATTATGAAACATATTTTTTTGTAATAGTTCTTTTATTTAATGTGTTCAAATTAAAATAAGGATAGATATAGACTTTTTTATATGTATATTGTAATAAATAATAAAGTAATGCAACCAATCCGTCCAGTATTGTGTAACTTAACCAAATTATATTTATATTATATTTTAAAAAGTATTATGCTGTGTGTATCATTATTAAATTAAATTATATGATTTGTTGATCAATCAAAATATACATTTTTATCTATTTTTTACCATCTCTTGATATTCTAAAGAGTCCAAAAAAACTCCTTACAGGATCCAAAATTATAAATCTGTCACTATCTAAACCTCTTATGGATAAATTATCTTTAGAATTGAAATATATTAGACCTCCAGTGTAACACGAATCTGATGATTGGGTATCTTGATGTCGAGTTGAAGTACAGCCAAGTATTTTTTCATCATTTTTCATAACATAGTATCCATTGATGTCATGTTTATCTGAATAGTATATCTATAATAAAAATAATAATATACTTAGGTAACTGGTCATGATTCGGTTATTTAATAATTTCTACTATAATAACTAAATTATTATTTATTCTTAGGAATATTTATATTATGATAATATATTAACCGACCTTTTAATATTTAATTATAAATTCTGAAAATCAAAATTATTTTTTAGAAGGAATGAAGTAAAAAATTGTTTTTTTTTGTTTTTGCATTAAATCTTTTACAGAAATTGTATTAATAAATTTTTATTTATTTTTATTATTTATACGGTATATACAATCTGTTCCTTTAGGAACAATAAAATAATATGTGGTAATAGAAAAAAATATATACAAATTATAATATTAAAAAAAAAAAAATACTGCCTTTGTTATTAAAATATGATCGTTATCCTAAACTACATAGGTACTATGTTCTTACTTGAGCATAAACAAAATAAAGTCCTGGTTTTAATACTTCAACTTTGCCATTTTTCATTATGAAATGATTTGCGTTGTTTAGATTTATATCCCAAAGATGTTGGGTCCAGTCTCTAAAATCGCCATCTGGGTGTCTCAAACGTCCATTTCCTATGAAATTGAAATTGAATTATATTCTTTAATTGCTTAAAATGAATAAGAATACTTCTTTAATAATGTAAATATATAATGATATTATATTAATTCTACAACCTTAAGAGGACGTAATACCCTCTTATGTTGTCTCCACCTTACTAACACATAATATATCTAAATGTATGTCCATTGTCCAGCAGTTTTAGTTTTGTGTTGTTAGCTTAAATATAAGAAGCACCTTATCTGTGTTCTCTCGTTGGTATTTTACGATATTTTAATTTTTAAGTGAATTGTGAGTATTTTCAAATATTAATATATTATATACACATAACTAATTTAAAAATTAAAATATCTTAAAGAAACCCATAAGAGAATACAGATAATTTTCTTACATTTACGTTTGATAATGGGTTAATTCTCTCTAATATTTAAGCTAACAACACAAAATTGGAACTGGTGTAGATTTTGATATATTATACGTTAGTAAGACGGAGACAACACAATATGTAGGTACGATCTCCTCTCAAGTTAAATTATATCTTTTATTTAATAATTACTATTACCATTGTAATGTGGATGTGTTTTGGTACTATATTTTGAAGAATCGCTTGTAAAATGTGCTGCAGCATTGTCTTGAGTTTCTTTAAAATCTTCATACGATTCTTCATCTTCTGATTCCATAGAAAGTTTTTTTTTTATAGTGCCCATCTTTTTTGACTTTCGTCGTCTATAGGTCTTCACTGTATTTTCTTCTTGAATTATTTCTACATCAGCCTTTTCATTTTTTGAGCTTTAATTAAAAATTAAAATAATAATTAAATTCAATTAGGTAGTTAATTTATTTTATCTTTTGAGTAATCGTTTTAATCTCAACTGTACTATAGTTATAGATAATTCCATCAGGTTTATATAAAGAATGTAAATAATTAACTTAATATAATGTGTGTGGAATGTTAGCCTGATATGAAATTACCTAGCTGTAATTTGTATATAGTCATGTTCTATTCACTATTGTTCCTCCATAAACTAACTTAACTAAATTAATGTTAATGTATAAAATAATTGTATTAAAAATAATGATTTCATATAAGAAAGCCAGACTTATATGCCAGGTTGACTGATCATATGATTTACATTCAGTGTGTTATTACTAAAAAATAAACTTAATTAATATTATTTGAATCAATAAGATCCAACTAAAAATGTTTACGTATGAGGAATAATATACCTAGTGTATAAAAAAAAATTACCTATTTAATTCATTTTTTACTATTGTTGTTGCATCAATTACTGCGTTGCGCCGTTCTCGGTTTTTTGGTTTATTTGATTCATTTGTCTGATATGGCTTTGCTGGCCAATTATTGTCCATTAAGTCTCTGCCCATAAATCGATCTCCATCATAGTCTTCTTCTACTTCTTCATAGTCATTAACATCAATTTTAGCTTTATGTTGATCTTTGTACGTATTGCTTACGTGTTTAGCTACAAGTTCATCTCTAACTATGTCAGTGAAGGTATTCAAATCACGAATTGCATCCTCAACTGTACCCACAAGTCGATTGATTTGTTGATTAGTGTCCATGTGCCATTTGTAGGACAATGTAACAGTCAATAGACAACTGAATATACACAATAAAACGGAAAAAATTAGAACAATCATTTGTATCGGTATAGAAGATATTGGAGATTGTTTGGTAGACGGCGACATGTTGTAATTACGAGTGAATCCGTTGCCTCCAACGTACATGTTTTGAGGACTTAGCGTTGTATGTTGGTGGTTTACATACTTCTGAGACGTAGCAGAGCACATCTTGTTCTGTAATGATTTTCATACTGTTTCTCTTATAACATCAAATGTTTTTTGAACCTGGATAATATGTAAATTAAACATTTTTATCTAATCTTTAAATAACCTTTGATCTTTTATCACTAGAAACGTAAATAGTTTCCTTTGTGTGTTTAATACTGCTCCAAAGTGACCTATAATTGATTTCGGTATTATTATTCAAAATAATTATCGCATTGAGTCGACTAAAACTTAATAGGCGAGTTGTAACTTGTTTAAGTATTTATTTAAGTCTTATATAGGTACGTTATATATTATTTATTTAGTTAATTTTTAAACTATCAATAGGTATGTATCGATGTGTCCTATAACTATGATTATAGTTTGCATAACGTCATAACATAATGTAGTGAATTAACTAATTATTAATGTATCAGTACTACATAATGTTATACATAATCGGTATTTATAATTATTTTTCATAATAAATCATTATTTTCTTTTAATCAATTTTGCGGGTTTACAATACAAATATTACCCACTAAAAATGAGTAGGTAATTTTTAGTTACATTAATTGATCTATAATTATAGAAGGTAATAATAAAAAGCACTGATACAGGGATTGAGCGGGACTGGGACATTGGCCACTAGGCACTATCTATAGAGCGGGTGTATTAATTTTGTGTTATGAATTATTTTGATATTAAATTTGAAAACATTAAACAATAGTTTATGATTGAAAATAGCATTACCAAAAACAGCAATTTAAACTCAAAACAGATTTAAAAATGTCTCCAATTTGTATTTAGTTTTCTTACGCTCATAAGAAACTATACTAAGAAAATCTGATGTGTGTTTTTTTTTGTGTCAGCACTCAGCCCCACCTTTTGGAGTATTATCGTTAATTAACTTTGTAAGTGGTTTTTGGAAAAAATTTAATCTAGTCATAGTTAGAGGGTAGCAAATAAAAATGAACAGTATACTTCTTAAAATTATAGGGAAAAACAAAAAGAAATTTGGTTTAAAATTGTATTGGTGTTCAAAACAAGATTCTCCAGATAAAAACGATTTTTTTTTGTAATTAAAAATTGAATAACTGTAGAATGTTGAATTTGACTCTAAAGTCAAAATATTTATATCAACATTTTTAAGACTTGATATCATTTTCAAAATATTTTGGCTATGTCTGTGTTACCTCAGGCTTTATTGTAAGGATTTTTTCCAACTGTACAAATAAAATATATATTACAGTAATAAGTGGGGGATTCTACATTAAATACATTATTTAAATAATATAAAAAAACTTTACACGAAAAATCGTCAAACTGATTTTATTATGAATTATTGAGTAAACAATTGGTTATTAAACATAATAATAATAATATTTTTAAACATTTATGGATGAAAATTATTTTTTTGAATTGTCTGTTTTTGGAATGCTTTTCCGCTTTATTATTTTCAATATCTTGTAAAACCCTTTTTAGACCTTGAGTTTGAGATGCTTCTGCGAACACTCCTTTGAACCAACTTTGTTCGCGTGCTTTAGGAGTATCTTTCACTCGGAGACATGTTTCATTAGTCCACGATAAAACCGCATTTCTTGGGTCCCATAAGGATAAAGGTGGCATGTTGAAATGAACAAATAAATATTCATTCTCCGATAATTATTAATAATCGATAATAATTTTGGCAAAGTAATTTTTGTTGTATTTCTCAAGTGCACATATTCGCTAAGCCAACTGCACATTTTATATTTCCTAATGCACAATTAGTGTCCTACTGCACCTTACAATAAAGCTTGTGTTACCTACTTATTTGAATAAATATTTGAAATGTTCAACTATTTTAAATTTTATTTCAATACATTATGTATGGTGAAATATTTGTATGTGAGAAAAAAAATCTTCAACAATTAATATACAAAGTTCCCTATAAGCTATTCTTAGCGCAAAAAAAATAATGAAAAAGCATATTCGCGATACTTTTTATCAACGTGTTTAAAGTTAAAATCTCAACAAAATTCGTCAAAATCATAAAAGTAGGAATATCATTTATTTTGAAGTTAAAAAATATCGATGTTTATCTTCATATTAACATCATCTAAGTCTTAACAATTTAACACAAGATTCTTATAAGATATTTTTACTGAAAAAAAAAATTAGACTAAGTCACATTATTTTTACAAACGATACCTATTATAACGTATAATGTTTTATCGTCAAACGATTTTTGTTAATTCAAACAATATTAACTGTTGAAACTTGAAATTTCCCACTATTACCGTTAGTTACTTGATATTTTTTCAAATATAGACACATAGCCACATAGGTGTGCATTTTTTTTTATAGATATTAGATATATCATATATGAAGTTCAAATGGTTATGAAGTTGGATATTCAAGAAATAAATAGGTAACGATTATTGTTGTTATGTTACTATTTAAAAAAATATTATTAATAGGAACATTTCGCCACTAAGATTAAGTACTAGTGTACTCTATGTATATCATAGTAGGATACATTATTTACTTTATAATTCAATTTTCAAAATATTTACATTAATTTTAAGCTATTTTAATTCGTACCACACTACCACGAACTTATTTACACCGTACACCGCATTGTACGTTGGTAGGTATTGACTTATAAATTAATAACAGCTAATAATATTTTATGAAATAATATTGTATAATGCGCCTATGCGAATTGTCTTTATCAAACATTTGTTCAACTTACCGTCTACCATATTACTAATATAAAACTAAATTACTTATTATATAGTAATATTATAAATATATAATAGAATATTCTTATAAATATAGGCTGCAACAGATCGCTTCAGCTCATTCCTAAGAATCGATTTTCATAAGTATGCAATGATTCATCGTTGAATTCAAATTAAATATATCCATTACAGTCTTCTATACAGGACACCTACAACCTATAATACAGCAGAGCGATTTACTCTTTTTTGTTTGTTTTATTTTATATGAATGTAATTCAATAATAAACCAAAAAAATTATAATTATAATAATTACTAAAATTATAAACCCATCTAAACAATACCGGCAGCTTATGTGTTAAATTAATTTAAAGTAAATAAAACAATATATTGTTAAACTATAAAAGACATCAACTAGTACTTCTCTGAGTTCAAATACAGTATAATTATCACTTTCGAGTTTCAATTTGCATTACGTAAATAATTTAAATTAAAATATAGACTTTTTAGTGTGTCTATAATGATTAATATCAATGGTGATCGTTATCGAGTTTCGACTTTAAAGCATAGTCACTATATATATATTAATATTTCTTGTGTTATATAGAAATCGTCATTGCAAGCACTGAACATTGAACCTTAAAATCATGTTTTATGATGTGGGTTGATATTTGGAGTACCTACCTATCATTTGTGAATTATGAATATATTTCAACTTTATGGTAAGGTGTTAAATTATGAACGACAAGATTGAATGTAAACTTTAAACTGTAAAATGTAAAGGCACCTTAAATTATTTGCATAAATTATTTTTTAGACCCTTATTGATAGGTATAGGATAAAATAATATATTATATAGTTATTAGGTATAAGTAACTTAAATTTTAAATTAAATGAAGTTTGAGTGTGTGAATACTGACAACTGACGACTACTGACAACCAGGCGCGGATCCAGCCTACAATAACGGGAGGGGTGGATTATAAATATGCAATAATTGCTTATTAATTAAAATGAAGATTTTGTTTCTAAGGCTAAATTGAAGACGTTTATTGAATTATTTACAATTTAAAATTTCCTTCAGCTAGCAGTCGACGGTGGTCGTCCCTCAATCGGTCATAATATTGTAATCAACAATTTATAAATGTGTGTTAATAAAATAAAATACGGCGATTTGTGACTGAATAATATAACATAGGATAACACAAAATATTAAATTTAAATAATACGGCCAACGGTGGGGGGGGGGACAGTCGTCCCTACCGCCCCCGACTGGATCCGCGCCTGCTGACAACTACTAATTATCCAATAACCCAACTTAACCTATACGTCATGACAGTGGCGTATATAGGGGTGAGGCCCCTAGGCTAGAGCCCATAGTGAAATTGCAGGTTCAATTAAAGCATTGCATATATTTCTACACTGTTTACAATTTTTCACCATGATTAATTTAGCCAGTTGATTAAAATCGTTTTTGAGGTATCAACAAGGAAATGTTTGTAAGGACTTGCTTTGATGACTTTGAATGTTAAATTCAAAGTAAGATAACATTAAAATATATATATAATATGAAATTGTAAATATTTTTTTAAAAACAATTAAAAAATTAATTTTACATAATTATTATAAAATTATATTGCGCAGTTTTTATTTGTATCATTTATTTATTTATGTCATAATTATAACCACCCTGCAGCTCCCTAAAATATGTATAGTTATGGCTATGTTAGTCGTGCTTGACTAGTGATAAATTGCCAAAATTGGCCCATAGTGAAAATAATTTGTATATACGCAACTGCGTCATGACTTAACTGACCACGGAAAGTATCTAAGACCGTGGTATAAACACTTAACAAAGTAATAATACCGGTATATAGGCTATCCCGTTCGGCGTTCCCTAGCTAATATTATAGAATATAGAATGGTAGGGACTGTAAGAGACTGTTATCTAGACTCTAGAGGTAATCATTATGCTGGTCACACTAAGGCAATAATTTGTTTTATACACTGCAAATAACAATAAAGCAAATCAAAATCTAAAACGAATTACCATAATCCAAGATGGAGTGACTTTTGTACTCATTCATAATGTACGTTAACGAATTCTTTTATCTATAAAACTCGAATATTCTTAGAAATCTGTTTTTAAAGTTGCACAGCAATATTGTTTATATACATTTATGTTATTAAGTATTGATAAATAATTGTATTCAGGTGTTTGTACTACGACGTAGTTAGTGCCTATTTCCGGCAAGTGTGCGTGTTTAATGTATTTGTGCAGGAAATTAGAAAAAAATCTTTTATCGAAATTTTAATTATACACATGACATAGTATTTATAGATATACAAATTGCATGTTCTAAAAACCACAAGATCCGTCATTTCAACAATAGGTAGGTTAACCTATAGTATTCGTCATTATTGACCACATCAAAATAAAAACTACCTATTTGATCAACTATAATAATATAATTTATATTTTATACTATTAGTCATTAATTATCTATCATTAATCACATATTATACTTACTGTAATTCTATTGTAAACACAGGGTTTTATTTGTTTTATGTTACTAGAAATCAGACACTGATCTAGAAATAAAAAAAGGGGCTACGGCTAGATGAAAAAATGTTTGATTATAATAATTTATCAATCACTTCTAAATGTCAATAAGCAATAATATGTTATATTATATTATATAATAATATATAAGTTTTAAGTATAGTATTGCCCCTCTAATCTTTTAGACATATTTTAAGTACCTAAGGCCTATGCCTCTCTCATAGTCCCATCCCTTGTATCCACACACGGCAAGTGATAATGATAAGACAAATATTAACAAAAAAGAGTAGTCAGTAGAGGTAGGTTTTCACAGTTGTATCAATTACAAAATTATCATTTTATTTTATTTTCAACACTTTGGAAATAGGTAGGTAGGTACCATATATATTGTGTGTACCTATCTTCTGTTCTACCATTGCGACTTATAGGTATTGTATATCCGAAGAAAATAGCCTATGAAAGTTCAAATAATTTTGGTATCGTAATAATTAGCGAAGCAAAATATACCATAATTTATTGTAAAACATAAGTAAGTAGACATAATGATGTTAGTTCAATTTTTATTAATTTTAAAACAAAAAACAATGTATAATAATATGTTTATTTATTCTGAAGTATTATTTTTTACTCTTCAGTTTATCTCCCCATTCATGAAAAATCTCAAGTAGTACTCCGATTGTTACTCCGTATCCTTGTGGATAAAGTCCACCAACCTTATCTTCGCCATTACTGCCCAATTTAATTGCACTGTACTGTAAGTTGATATATTTATAATTTTTAATGTTTTAATTTTATTTATGTTATTAATAATAATATTATACCTTTTCGAACAAAGTCTTTGTCTTATTATATCCCGCAAAATTTGTGTTCACCCATGAACTGGCTAAATTGAATGCTACTTTTTGTGCTTTTTCACTTCTAGTTGATTGTAACCCAAAAATTATCATTGATTGTAATTGTGGCCAACAGTTGTTATAGTCCCAGTCGAAATTAGTGTTATACAAAGATGTTGGTACGCCTATGTAAGATATGTTGTTGTAAAATAGTGAATAGTGATTAGTGAATAGTGAATAGTGATTTTTAAATATTTCGATTTATCTTATCAATTTTTTTTTTTTTATCATTGATTATTATTATGCCCGGCAACTATGGCCACTAGCTGTTTTTGTTTTAGATTCTGAGTGGAACGATAAATGTATTGATTTTACAATGATATGTATTTTTTTTTTTTTGTGTCTGTCATCAGGACAGTAAAAGTGCTTGGATTTTCTTCAACAGTTTATTTTCTGATAGGAAAGTGAATCTAGTTGGTACTTTGGTGGGTCAAAAGTAAAAATTTCCCAATAGTTTTCAAAAGCGCAGTGAAAAACAAAAGAAAAATTAAGGAAAAACGGGAATTTTCCAAATATTTTGACTTATTTTGAGCTCTTTACGGACATTTTCAATTTCTATTCTTTTTAATTTTTTTTTCTACAAATATCAATAAAATTTTATTTGTTGGTTAAAAAAGCTTACAAATTTAATAGAAAGCTCCTTGTATATTGTTTCAAAGGCAGATAAAAACATTTAAAATCCAGTCACAGTTTTTTTTTTACAAGCATTTAAAGTTCAAATATTGACAAAATACGCAAAAATCACGGAAATTTGCAAATTATTTTGAGTTAGAAATTCATAACAAATTTTCTTTTCAAATCTAAGAACTTAAGATGTAATACAAGATTCCTCATAAGTTTTTCTACCTCTATTAAAAAAAAATTTCTAGAAGAAATTCAAATTAAATTTTTATGAGTGTTTGAAATTCAAATTTTTACAACATTGGACATTCACTTGATTTCTCATGTACATTTACAGTTTTCAATTTTTTTAGTTTTTTTTTCTATAAATATCAATAAAGTTTTATCTGTTGGGCCAAAAAGTGTAAAAAATTAATTCAAGGCTCCTAATATATTGTTACAATATCAGTTAAAAATATTAAAAAAAAAAATTTTTTTATAAGCATTTAAAGATCAAATTATGACAAAATTGATCAAATTTAAAATTGAATAATTATTTTGTAGTTAAAAATGTATAAAATGTTTAACTTTTATATTTAAGGATTGAAAATTTAAAACAACGTGGTAGTTTATTCTGTTACCAATAAATCTAAAAATACATAAGCACAGTTTATTTTTATAGTCATTTTAAGTTCAAATTTGGACGAAATTACATAATAAAACACCTAGAATAACTATTTTAGTTATTTTGTTGTGAGTGTATAATATTATTCGTAGGTACCTACTTGAAACTTCTAAAGTACACTATTATATATCTATGATGGTATCATGGTTTGTTGTTGATATATAACGCGTTATAAGTACCTAATGGCTATTGTGATATGATTAATTTGGAATTTATTATAGGTACAATTTTTTATTAATACCATAGATAAGTATATAATATGTCTTATACCTAGACTGACATACCGTCTCCGCTCAGAATCGTTTTTCTTATACAATGATATTATATCATTGAATTCAAATTATACAGTGACCCACTTGTAACCTACTGTACAGCAGAGCACCTTTTTTTTTGAGAGAGTCATTAGATTACAAATTAAACTACAGTGTATAAAAAGTTAGTTATAAGAAAAACTTATTTAGCTCTTGTAAATTATACCTATACCAATTATTTCAATTAAAAGTATAATGCATATTTTACTAAGCTTTAGAGGACCATAGTGAATAAACCAGCGAACCAAAATTGATGATTTGCCTATAAACATTTTCAGAAAAAAAAGCTCTACAGGAATCCGTTTGAATTATTTTTGTTTTGGACATCTACATTTTATTTCGTACTTTTTCTATCATAAATTCCTATCATAGTTTTCTTACAATAGCATTAATTTGGATTCCTTATTAGGTTCATCTCGGGGGTGCACTTGCACCCCCTGGAATTGTTGAGGGGGTGCAAAACTATCATTTTGCACCCCATAAATTTTCTATATTTATAATGAATAATTTTGCCAATTTTTTAAATATTTATAAAATAATGTCAACATTAATGTTATGCTATGCTACAACTTACAAATTGATAGAAATCGAGTTATAGATTCTGAAATTGTAATCGACGAGTTCAATGCAGCGGCAACTGTACATGGTGGACGCTTAAGAGGACGCTATACCCGCATGCGTTGTCTCCGTCTTACAAATGCACAACATAGCAAAAAACTGTTTTGCGCGGGAAAGAACCGAGAAGGCTACAATCATAACTAAGAAACGATATTTTCACCACATAAAAAGAAGAACTTTGGCTGTGCAACGTTGTTTTTATTTTTTTGATATCACTTATATGAAAAAAGTTTTTCAAGTTTGAAAAACACAAACAATAACGGTTTTTTAAACAGTAAGAACTTTTTTCATATAAGTGATATCAAAAAAATAAAAACAACGTTGCACAGCCATAGTTCTCCTTTTTATGTGGTGAAAATTTCGTTTCTTAGTTATGACTGTATCGGTTCTTTCCCGCGCAAAATAGTTTTTGATATGTTGTACATTTGTAAGACGGAGACAACACATGCGGGTATAGCGTCCTCTTAAGTTTAATTTAATTTTGTTAATTAATATTTAATATGTATTAATATTTATTATATCAATGTAGTAAATTACAGTCTTGACTAATAATTTTAATTTATATTATAAAATGTGTGTGCAAAGTAAATGAACATTAGGATGTGTGAGTTTAATCTGTAATCGTTTACGGTCAATATTAACTAAAAATGTCCCGAATAATAACAGTAGGCCCGCGTAATACCGACCGGTATATCGGTCGTTATTTATATTAGTCGGCAATTAACTTACGTACTCGCAGGCATTGACGGAGATTTTATTATGATCAACTTTTTTCAATTTAAAATAAGCGGTTTTTAGACCTATAAGCTAGACAAAACTGGAGGAATTTGGTTTGACGGATTTTAATTTTGAAAACGGATTATGATTGATTAACAAGTTTACTAGGTTATGCCTGAGGTGATTTTTAATCTTCCAATTATTGTTAGTGGCATGATGAATACTATAAATACAAATATTAGTTTTTGGAGAACTATGGTTTTTAAACTTTGGACTACTTATTGAAGTCTTGGAGCAAAGCGCAAACTATAATAATGCCATTTGTATAATATACATATTACATTTTTAATTAATAACTATTTATTTATATTATACACTGAACACTCACATAAATAAAGTGGTGTCAAATCTTCACTTATAATTTGGTTTCTTATTAGATACTCCACTGCTGCATCGCCATAAAATTCACTTAGTTTATCATCATAACTTCCGGTCCACAGAGGTGCTAGGTTGGACGCATAAAAATAATTGCGACTTTCTGCTGTCGTTGTGTCAAAATCTAACCACATTTTTTCATCCTCGTTCCATAATAACTATTTTAATGAAACAGTGAAATACGTATAAATATTTATTAAAGGTTTACCTATAATTTATTATGGTACTTAATGCGCTTGTAGGTATTTGAAAAAACTTACTGCGTTTATTCCGATTTGGTAACGACGAGCAAGGTCCTTATAAAACTTTGAGTTCTCATGATCTTTAGCAATGAGATACATATTTGACAGAATATTGGCGTTTAATTGCATTATAGAATTCAATTCAACGTATGCAAAATTCAGCGGATTAGTTTTCAGTAATGTCTCTGTAAGTAAATTAAATATGGTAAAATTCTTAAATGCCAAAATATATATGTTATATATTTTTTTTAAATACAATTTTTTAAATATACAAATTTTAAACACGATATAAAATCTGTAGTTATGAATTATGATGTTAAGTGATTCAAATTGCTAAATGTATAACAATTTACTGTAGGTAATATATAGGTATATATTAGTATATAATTTATACTTCCTATGTTATAATGTCGACTAGATGTTAATTTTTTTTAAATGTTTGCTATATTTATTAACAATGAAATACAATTTAATCAAAATGTTGGATTGATTAATATACATAACTACTGACGCTAAGTGACAAAAATATTGAAATTTAATATTTTTACTTCTTATATCATTATAATTATTCCGATTGTGGAAATGTTTGCTTGAAAATCCCCAGCCAGATTCGGAGGCAGCTTTGACTCTACACAAATATTCTTCTTGATCTCGAATAGTAGGCAGTTTTTCCGATATGTGTAGATCAACACTTAAAACATAGGGTGTTTAATAATTTAACAAATATATTCATTAAAATACATCTTAAATTATTCTTACGTACGTATACATTTCAGGACGAGGATCAAATAAATCACTCATATAATGAGACATGATATAAGAATTACCATTACTTTTCACTTTAACGGACCTGTAGGTTAACCAAAACATCATTTCCGCATCTAGGAGCTATAGTTAGAATACAAAATAATTGTTTAGAATAAAAATATATTGTGCACTACCCATCAAAGTTTTAAATAATTAGTAAATTGATATTATAGCTTTTTTATAATAAAATACGAGCATAATAGAAGTTTTTAAATAAGAAATAGGAATAGTGTTTATATATGAAATCGGAAAATACAAAAAATGTCGAAACACTGAAATACTAAAATTATCTTGACAAAATAAGAAGAATATTTTGTTGTTAATTTTAATTTACATTTTTTTCCTTGAAAAGTAACCATCACTGATATAAATATTGAATAGAATAGATATTGTTTTTAAATATTAATATTAAGAAGATAATCTCATTATTCATGAAGATTATGGTTTTAGATACTTACACTAATATTATCAGTAATGAATTTTTCGTCTTTAGTATATGTATAATAAATAGACATCATTTGAGTAAGAAGTGGTGGTTGTGATCTTCCTTCATAGTATATTCTGTTTCCTAATAATACATACCCATAGTTCTGAATAATGCTAAGAAAATTGCTTAAAATCCCTTTTACGGTAGTTTGCATTCCACATATTAATGCACCTACAGAATAATAATATTAAAAATAAAGTAAGTTTTGGGATTAGCTCAAACTAAAAAAGGTGCTCTGCTGTACAGTACAAGTGGGTCACTGTGTAATGGATGGTATTAAATTTGAATTCAATGATATAATATCATTGTATAAGAAAAACTGATTCTGAGCGGAGACGGTATGTCAGTCTAGGTATAAGACATATTATATACTTACCTATCTATGGTATTAAAAAAAAAATTGTACCTATAATAAATTCCAAATTAATGGTTTTACTAAAGTTTTGTCACAAAGAGATTCACAAAATCTTACCTACCTACTATACTCGCAAATAGGAGGGGGAATTTGGGGCCAGCGCCAAGCCTCCTTCATGTTCAATATTATAATAGTAGGGCTTTAGGCTTCAGCCTTCCCAAATCTCAGACACTATTTGCGTCTATATTATGCTACCTACCTAAGCATAATTTACTTTAAGAAATATTCCTGAACGTTATCCAAATATGATTTTTTCCGACAATTCTAAGTACTCAAACATTTAAAACAAAGCGGGTAAGTGGATGTCGCTCTGCTGTACCGTAGGTCACAAGTGGGTCAATGTATAATGGATTGTATTAAACTTTAATTCAATGATATAATATCATTGTGTAAGAAAAACGATTTCTGAGCGGAGATGGTTTGTCATTCTGAATATTTTATTTTGTTATTATTTATTATAGCCTACAGTAAGTTAAATTAATATTTTTAAATTCGTCACAATTTTTTATTCGTTTCTATGGGGATAATTGATAAACAAAGAGTTAGAAATTAAAATCCCGTGTTTAGCTATTTTTAATGGTTTTTCGCAATTTGTTGGTGGTTTTTCCCGTGGCATTAAATAACTATTGAGAATATCGAAAAATGACCTCTCTTAAGTACCATCTTGATCCAATTTGCTAAAAGATAAGATACTATATGTCTGATTGTTGTAATCGAAGCACTTTTTCTGGTCATATACATGCAGAATAAAAAAAATAAAAATAAATAAACATCATGGTAAAACCCCTAGTTTCCTCACTCCTCTCAGAATCTAAAAATGTGAAATATGCAAATTCAAACTTTGTATTTAATTTCGCCATTTCATAAAACAAATTTATAACTTACCTAGAATAATCTACTACTGCTACAAATAAACATGCAAATGCAATAAGTCCCAAACCTTACATATGAGCTGTGAAAGTTATGAGTTAATAATTATATTATTCCATTCTAGGGGGGGAGGGGTCGAGAACCGGGACCCCCACCGTAAATACACAAATGATAATGTAAAATGTAAATTATGAAAATGTAAAAATTAAAAAATTAAATAAAAAGTCAATAAAAATGTTTTAAATTATAGATATGAACAATAGTTAAAATAATCAAAGTTTTTAAAATGAATTGGTTAGTTAACATTCAAATATTAATTGCAGGTGCTATAATATATTTATAAATTAATTTGGGAACTTGATGACCTAAAAATCTTGAAATTATCAAAATAGTCAAGTATGATTATAAATTATAATTGTATTATATTATTATTTATTATCAAAAGTTATATTAAAAAGTAAATTAAAAATGTGTACAATATAAATATCATATTAAAATTAGGAACAAAAATTATTATCGATAGGTAACAACCCACGATTCCCTCCTATATTTGGAATGAATAAGATACTTAGATTCACCAAATAATATTTTAACTTAATGATATCGGCTTTTCATGACTTCACACATGTTTATATTAAATATATACTTTATGTATATAATACAATACCTAGTACAAAGTGTCCACGTTCTGCAATTTAAAGTTTTCAACCTAAAGACTGTACAAAGTGTCTGCTTAATATGCATTTTAAACACTGTACAAAGCAACCGTTACCATACTACCTACCTAATACCTTCTTATAAGAATATAAGATATATTATTTAAAATTTAAGTTGTACATTTGTACTAATCTACTAATTATTAATGGTTTTTTTTTAAAAAAAAAATTTCAATCCATATCCAAATAATGTACAACATGTAATTTATTTACTAGAATGTCGTTATGAGTTGTACCTTGTGAATGACATGATAGGGAGAGTAGTTTAAAGTTGAGACACCTTGATAATTCAGTTTATTAGATGATTAGATCACTACACCGTGTTTGAAGCAATTTGTGAAATGTGTTGGTATTATTTGAATATATATACAGTATATATAGATAGTTTTTTGGTTATTTTATATTTATAAACAAGTGAAACGGCTTTATTGATTGAACGAATTTTAAGATCAGCTTAAAAATATAATTGTTATAGTTTGAATATATATATTATTTTTTTTGAAACGGTTGGACATATTATTAGTTTTTTTTTTTTTATTATAGAAAACAAGAATATATACAATCTGTAATAATTCATATAATAAGTAATATAGGGGTACAAGTATACAAGATGGGACGGAATGATAAAAGGGAGGGGGGGTCCAATGACCCTACTTCAAAAGACATATTATTTAAAATTATAAAATAAAAAAATATAAATTTTTACGTAGATGTGGAATATGGATTATAACATTTATAACTGAAAAATATAAAATTTCCACATATTTTTTAACTTACATTAAAAAAAGTAGGTAATAAGAACCTACCTACCTATTAAAAATTAAGGTGAATGCGTGAAGTAGACATATAATAATAGGTGCCTGTACCAATGTACCATATTATTACCTTTTATTATCCAATATGCGTCCCAATAATGAAATTCATTTTGAGATTCCATGTTCACAAAGAATCCGTTAGGTACATATATCATTGAGTAACGACCACCTTTAATTTTAACTTTAATTGATATTTGTTTTGCTAATTTCTTCCAAATCTGATTTATTCCCGACACGAATTCCCTTGATACAAAACAATTATAGTTCAACATTTTAATTTTAGTTATTATTTATTTTTAACACGAAAAAATGAAACTTATAATCATTATTCTGAGCATAATATTACGTATATGACATAAGTTACCATCAGTATCACATTTTATTAAATTTTTTTTTTTTTTGATAGATTATAGGTACGCTAATGGAAAAAAATGTGCCTATATATTTTTTATGTTTTAAACTTTTAAAGTTGAATTAGGAACATTTTATGTATACTCTATTTCCATCTAAGTTTACCCATTCGATCGACATATGACGGTAGTCGTCTCGCAGTTTTTCCCGTATACACGGTAGTGGCCGTTGAAAATGAAGGGTAACGTCGGTTGTCGATTAACGGCGACCAATCACAGAGCACCTGGCATTGACTGAGGGGTCTTACCGTTCCGGTGGCTCAGTATATGTATGCGCAAAAGTGGGTAAACTTAGATAGGATAGAGTAAATGATCTTGTATTAATATTCAAGAATATTAAGACTAAACATTATAATCAACATTAAAAAATGAAAAGATTTATAATTTACAATTTAAAAATAATTTATTTGTCTATGAATATTTTAAAATGGGTAAATATTTTGAAAATATTACTAAGTATTGAGTACCTATAGAAAGTTATGGTTTGAAATGTTTCAAGTTTTTACAGTCAATACTATTTATGTACCTACCTATTTATACAATTACATTTAACAACAAAAAAACTTAAATCGTTAATTTACGAGTAAATTTCGTCGACATTTAAATTTTAGACTCTCATATGAAATATTTGAGAAATTGAGCTCAATTCTTTTATAATTTTTATATGAAAATCTTATACAAAACCTATTGTATTAAATTTTCTTTTTATTCTACTCAAAAATAAAAATTGTATCATACATAAATCGAAAAATAAACTAAATAAAGTAAAAAAATAAAAAAATAAAACATTGGGAGTTGTTCTTTTTTTACCCCCTAAGTACTAACTAGAACCACCCTTAAAATTGAAAATCAATTTTAACTGCCTCAAAAGGTGAAGCCAGATACTAAAAAGTACACGCATATGGAACATTATTATAAAATAAATATAATATATTATATACTCCATTCAAAATATATAACTATTATATTTTAAATACTTACTTATAGTTGTTATCTTTTATATAATCAATGATTTTGGGATGATTTCTGAAGTCCGGTGGTAACCAGTTATCAAGGGTATGGAATTTGAAATGGTTTTTAACAAAGTTCTTTAGTTCTGGTAATGGTATAGCGCCATTAAATGTACTATTCAATGCACGAAAATTACTGAATGTAACTGCTTCTTTTCGTCTCATTTGCATATCCACAAATGTTTTAGGTGATCCAAACATTTTTGAAATTTGGACTGCACGTAGTAAATCACCTTTGCAATATATTAAACTGTGAAAACAGAAAAATAATATATTATATTATTATATTCCATATAACTAATGATTTAATAATAGTAATTTTTTGTAACTAAAATATTATTTGTTTTAACTTGAAAATTTTAACATAGATGGTAGATTATTATATTTTATGCACACAATGACAATTTCAAATACAATGTTTTCAGTAAAACTTGATTTAACCTACCGACTACCGTATTGATATTTGACAATAGCAAAATAAATTACTTTAATATCAAGTTAAATGTATCAAAAAATATACTCAGTAATATTTTATACTGATTTTCTTCGCTCAGAATTGTTTTTCGTATGAAACGCCAAAAAAAAAAAAATCCTGGTAACGCTTCTGACATAGAGGTAGCTGTGACTTATTCAACAGCGAGGCACACTCTACACCTACTGAGCAGCAGATTGGTTACCCCATATTATTAGTTAAATCTAACTTTTGAAAAATTGTTCAATTATTCATTATTATGCTTTAAAAATGTTAGTCGAGACTTTTTTTTTACTTTAAAATGAAATATAAGGTTCGGATTTTTTCTACAGATTTTTACTTGTGAAATTTTTTAAAATTCATCTTCTTGATTGCTGTCTGGTTAAAAATATGATACTTGTGTAGTATGCTACCTACCAAAAAACTGTACTCGTGCAGTATGCTACCTACAGAAAAATATGACATACCTAAATATGATATACCTTATACCAATATTTACCTACTCATCTATTTGTTATATTTTTATTTAATTTTATTGCGGGAAAATACGTGTGATTTGAGTTGCTAAGATAAACAACATAATATTATAACTTTCGTCGGTCATACAATACTATAATAGCTAAATATCAATTAAACTGGTAACTATCTAGTAAATTACCTGTAAATATCCACGAAGCCCAATAATAACTTACTTTTAGATATTAAATTATTTTAGTTTTTGTTGTGTCCTGCCACTTTGCCTTCTTAAGCAACACTCGCCACAGATATGTTACACCGCCAACCAAAAAATAATGGTAGCGATCAATAATTTAAACACAACACGACAATATTGTCAATATATTAAATTTGAAGTTTTCCGGGATAACGTAATAGCATAGTAGTAGTGAAGTAGAGGTAGCATCCTACACGAGTACCAAAAATATTTTTTAAGTTCAAATCAGACCATTATTAAAGTAGCATTTGTAGCATGCATTAGGATGCAGTAAATATTTTACGTTATGCATATAACGCCTGCAGTAAAGATATATTTTAGACATTTGAAAGCACCCGCAGACAGTATAGATACAAATGAAAAAAAAAAAATTCGTTAAGTATAGATAATGATTAATATTTACTTTAATAGTGAAATAAATGTGTTATATTACCTTGGGCAAACTTCAAAAATAGGCGGTGGATGATAAGGACCATGCAGTAGATTTTGAGATGAAAGATAACCCCTCAAAAACGGAATTAATAAATATATATAATAAGTATATCGATACATTTTTAGTTTTAGTTGCTATTTTATATGTGTGGATTTCAAATTTAGTATTAATGTTGTGTCTGTTTGTTAATTACTACGAATGAGATGCACTATATAGTATAATATACTAATTAAATAATATTTTTTTATTACAATTTCGTAGGACCGGTTTATTAATATAGGTATACCGTATACACTATACAGGGGAATTTATAACAATAACGATAATTCGAAGCTTTGATGATTAGGTTTAATGTTTTTACTTGGCTATATCATGGGACTAGACGGAAGAAAATACCTTTTTAATATTTAATCTTAAAAGTATTTTATTATATTATAATGAATGTGGATGAACATTTTTAAATTATGGTATAGAGCTAATAAATGTTTAAAAGATTACTAAATAAAAAAACAAGTGGAATAATTTATGAATCTATAGTAATAGCAGCTGGTTTGGGATTAGTGGATCATTCTGTATAATATTTATATAAAACAAAATGTTATAAACAAAAATAACGTTGCATGGAGTATTTACACAAATGTTTTAGACACAAAATTATTAAATGGTTATTAACAGAAGTATTTACAATATTAGTTTGGTCATATATCATACGCATAACTAGATTCATAATAATATGTACAATTACTATCATATAGTTAAGTATTTATTTATTGTTTATGAACCGACGATAATGAATCCTCAAGGATCTGTAAAACCACTTTTAACTATTACCTATCTAGCAAGGTCAAAAATTAAAATGTCTTAATTGTATCTATTAATCTATCTTTGATCAGCGATCTACAATTATTTAGGTGCCGGTACTACTTACCATAGTGATCGCTACTCGCTCGCTAGTGTGTATGTGTAAAATCCGGGATTTGAAATTTGAATAGTATCTACGGTTTTCCGGTTTTCGTTATTATAAAATATACAGTATAGTTATTTCGGACGTGGCCACTGTGCAATTGCACAGTGAGCCGGTGTCATATACTCATATACTCATGTCCCCTGGGCTGGTACAAAATAAACCATCTGGTATAATATTATTGTTGTTGACGAATTTTTTAGGACCTCATCTATTTAGAACACCTTTGTAGTTGTCGGAGTAGACTAACATGATCCACTCCTCTCAACTAAACTTTAATTACTTATAAGTTATAACTATAGAGCCAGAATTTTATTTTTTAGATTAGTAACTTAATTGGTATCTATAATTCAAAACATTTTGTACAGACTATTTACAATTTGTCGATTGTACTATTTATGATTTCGATACGTCGGTAACGTCTTTATCTATCTACAGTTTAATGGCTGTTATATGCGTCCGGGTCTCAGACCAGTAACAAGTACCTACCTAACTAATTGGATAGTTGGTGTTACATCATAATCACGTTTATTTCTTTAACTTCGTATTTTTGTATTTGCTCAAGGAATATTTAAACAATAATTTGGTAATTTTTTTATGGACATTTTACTATTTTAGAGCATTTTGGATAGTTTTTAGGGAATTCAAATCCGGGCCCGTGGTTATAAACACATAAACATTAAACTACTCTTCCAAAATTTGATTTTAATTTATCGAAGTACTTTAAAAAATATACTGCTTTCGAATATAAAAAAATGTGTTTTAACTTGAAAATATGTAAAAAAAAAACATATGGCTGTTGTTAATGCCTCAATACAATCATCATTATGATCGGTCGCTTCTAGTACAACTAAATAAAAAGTTGTAAATAAGTTCAGTATGAGTTACCTACCTACTTAAACAATTAATTATTCCTTAAATTATTGTGTACCTATGTAAAAATGATCCACCTATATATGGATTTATGATTAAAAGTAGGGATACAATAAAAATAACAAATAAAATATTACCTCTATTAAATTTTAATTTTAAAAACATTGATTATGGTGATTGGTGGGTAATCAAAAGTCAAAAATAAAGTCTAAAGTTAACTTGAAATAGTATTGGGCCGAATTTTTTTCATTAATAACGGTCTGACTGGGTCCCCAGTCCGCCCCTGATATACAGAATAATAAAATGGATTTTGTGTAAAAATCTTTTAGAGATTCTCTAAAGATCACTCAGTTCAAGAATCTAAAATATTTATTTAAAATAATGATTAGGTTTAGGTATGTGTTTAAACTGAAACAAAATATACAACGAAACACTACATCAAAATATTAATACATAATATAATAAACACACATAAGCCGGATAACCACATATGCGCATATATATATTAATTATTATCATTCTTAGAAGGAAGGAATTAAAAATGTACTTAAATTTTATCAATCATATTATAAATTATAATGGTGTTTTATTGGTAAATACACAATTAGTGGAAACCGTTTTAATAAGAAGTAGAGGTTGTGATCTTTTTGTACCATTTGGCATTTTCATACTAAGTACTAAGTAGTAAGTATTATAAATTATATTAGTTTTTATTTCGCCCACGGGCATTTATTTCATTCTATGTATTATATTACTTAGGAATAAATTATTAAGACTTATTTCAGTATTACAATTTATAATAACTATCGTATATGTATATAGGTACATATTATATTTTACATGATTATTTTTAATGATTCATACAATAACAAATAGAAAAATGCGTGTCGAACAATGTTTATTTTAGTTTCAATTCACATTCAATAATAATAATGATAATAATAATAATAATAATAACAAACTGAGAACAAAAATTAATTTCACAGTTATCAATAAATTTGACAAACAGTAAAAATGACTCATAATAAATATATATGTTAAATATTTAGATTCAATTTTTTTAGATTTTTTTTTGTAAGCATCTTTTATTTGAGTTACTGATGTTTATAATAATATTACCTATGTAATAATATAAATATATATATAAATCGTTTTTCCTTATAAACATATCAGAACTATAACAGTACATGGTTATTTCATTTAAATTTTATACTTATTGATGAGAATAATTTAAAATACCTACTCTAAGTATAATAATAAAAAGTCGGTCAAGCTCTGCTGTACATTATTTAGGTGTCGCGTGGGTCACTTTAATGGATGGTGTTAATATTGAATTCTATGATTCAAAATGTACCCATATTCTCAAGATAGTACACCCTATAAACATGATTATTCCTTAATATGTAGTATATTGTAAATACCACTGCTATCATCGCGTCCATGATATAACTAGGTAACTTATACTCTATTAGATAGTTATATCATGAACTCGTCGACAAGATGCTGACGAGCACTTTATAATCTCCCTCCTAGGCACCATAGATGCTCCTGATCAGTGATCTCCTCTCCAATGTAAGTTTTCGTATCCCTTCCTTCTTCTCCAGAAATCACTCCCTCTTCCAAGTACCAACCCACAATACATCCTATGGACTATGGACATAATCACCTCTTACATAGAATGCTTAGTATTCTAAATAATCTTAATTTTGATTTTAATATCTAATTAAATATATTAGTTATGCGTTTGCTGTAGTATAAAAGTATAGTACGACTATACTACTATATATTACCATTTAGTTTATATTGAGTTGTCTTTTCTAAATGTTCTGTGTTACTGTGAATTATAAATAAATATTACCTACTTGTAAACTAAAACTTAAACTGTAAACCTAAAATTGGCCATTGAGGTTTATAAATAAATAAATAATATCATTGAATTATATACGAAAAACGATTCTGAGCGGAGACGGCCTGTCAATTAGCTTATAATATAATAAGAATATTTTTAAATTACAACAAAATACCTAACTAAATATGTTATGCAAAATTTTCAAGGGAGAAATTTGAGTTCAAGAGAACTAAGAAATTACATGTGCAATATGCAAGCCATACGTACCGTACCCGTATCGGACTCAGACTTCGATACGAGCCGAACTATTCCATATCGATAAGTATCGAATTTTTCTTCTTGAAAATCTTTATGCTTCGTCATCTGTTATATAATTTTGTTCAAATTTGAACTTAAAATATCTATAAAAAATAACTGTGTTTTTATTGGTTAAATTATGAACTATTTATGAGAAGCCTTGTTTAAAATAATCAATCCTTAGCAATAAAAATTGAACGCTTTAAAGGCGTACAAAAAAACGTACCGTATCGTCTTTAATATTTTTTAACTGTTATTATAAAACGTATGATGAGGAACCTTGTATTAAATTACCAAGTATTTTGACCCAACGAAAAAATTGTCATTGATATTTATAGAAAAAAAAATTTTTAATATCTATAAATATTAAATATCTCAAATCAAGTCATAATATTTTGAAAATTTTATCATGTATAGAATTTAGTATTTGTGGTAGTATTGGGTGAAAACTTCTAGTATTTGTTTTTGAATTACAACAAAATTAGAAAATTGTTCGATGAGAAATAGTTAATTAATACCTACGGCTAAAAATAAAATGTGAACTTCAAACGCTTATATAAAACTTTTTTTTTTGAAAGTATGAAAACTTATGAGGAATCTTGTATAAAATTTTCAAATCATAGATATAAATAGACAATTCTTTATGAATTTCTTACTCAAAATAATTTACAAATTTTCGTGATTATGACAAATGCTGCCAAAATTATATTTTCAGTCACTCATATAATTTTTTGGTGGATTTACTCTCAACCTTTTTTTAAACTTACATTAACAATAACTTATGAGGAACCTTGTGTTACATTTCTAAGTTTTTTGATCGAGTAAAAATTATTTTATTGACAATAATTTGAAAATAAAAGAATTAAAATCTAAACTTTCTTATGCCTATAAATAACACAAAAATAAAACGCTTATATAAACATCTGGTAAAAATTTAAAGTATCTACGGTTATTAGTTCCAACATAAAAAACATAAAACCCAAATCGATTTTGTATTTTTGTCAAACACTGGTTCTGCGTAAAAATCATCGTTTTTCCTTAATTCTTGTTTTGTTTTTCTCGATACTTTTGATAATTACTGTGACTTTTCCATCAGAAAACATGCTGAAGTATAAAATCTATGCATTGTATACACATATCATTGTAAAATCAATACATGAGATGCGAAAATGACATTATTTTTTTGCTCTCTCACTCCGTTTTTGAATAACTAAGAGTGCTTAGTGTTGCACTTTATCCAGTGTTGTGTTCTTATATACAATTATTTGAATCCAAGAAAATAATTACGATGTAGCTAAACTGCTAAAGTAAGGACGACTTAACACATTTTAGTTACCACAAAGTTAAAAATGAAAGGAAAAAAAAACCAAAATCTTAATATTTTATGTATCAATACCTATATAAAATTATAAAATGTTTAATTATAATAATTGTATATAGACATAAAAATAAAATGTTACCAAATAATTATATTTTTATAATTTCAATAAAAAAAAACAGGCAGTGATAATTGTATTATGTTGCTGTGCAATAACGTATTACTTTACCTAACCTATACCTACTGATAACTGATGTAAACAATGTACCTATTTGTTTATGAAATGTCCAAATATTTGGTTTTTCGACAATGGATAGAACCATTCAACAGTATTTATTTTTCCATTATTCAAGTTTAGGTAAATATAAATTGCAAATTAAGAAGTTGGAGTATAGCATGCTTTAATGAATAATATCTAGGCTGTTCAAATAATACGTACATTTGAACTGTGTCATTGTGTGTTAAAACTTAGTTAACAGTTTTAGACATTTTACCGTTTTTTAAATCGGTACAACACAGCTATAAGAAAAAGATTTATTTTGTTACTTCCTGTGACCTGATTTAAAATTTAAAAAAAGATCTGTAATAGATACCTTTTTTACTAGGTTATGTAGAAAATTGATATTTTAGGACTGTTTGTATGCGTAAAAAATAAAAATACGTTTATGGTTTTTTGTACAATTTTATACAAAAATCAAAAATGTATTTCCTACCTAGCAAAATGGATGATGGTTTCATACGTATAATCGATACAATAATCGGACATCGGGAAGTATATGGAAGTAAATTAAACTTCCCCTTAAGAGGACGCTATACCCGCATGCGTTGTCTCCGGCTTACAAATGCACAACATAGCAATAACTGTTTTTGGCGGCAAAGAACCGAGAAGGCTACAATCATAACTAAGAAACGAGATTTTCACCACATAAAAAGGAGAACTTTGTCTGTGTAAAGTTGTTTTTATTTTTTCGATATCCGAACTAAAAAGGTGCTCTGGTGTACAGTAGGTTACAAGTGGGTCGCTGTATAATGGATATTGGATGGTATTAAATTTGATTTCAATTATATAATATCATTGTATAAGAAAAACGATACTGAGTGGAGACGGTATGCCAGTCTAGGTTTAAGACATATTATATTCTTATCTATGGTATTAAAAAAAAAAATTGACCTATAATAGATACCTATTATAAAATCCAAATTAACCATATCACAATATCCATTAGGTACTTATAACGCGTTATACATCAATAACAAACCGTGATATTATCATAGATATATAGTATAGTATCCTTTAAAAGTTTCAAGTACAAACGAATAATATTATACAATCACATCAAAATAATTAAAATAGTTATTCTAGGTTTTTTTTATGTAATTTCGTCCAAATTTGAACTTAAAATGAGAATAAAAATAAACTGTGCTTGTGTATTTTTTAGATTTTTTGATAACAGAATTAACTACTTACATGGAATCTTGTTTTAAATTTTCAATCCTTCGATATAAAAGTTTAAAATTTTATACATTTTAACTACAAAATAATTATTCAATTTTAAATTTGACAAATTTTGTTTAAATTCGATCTTTAAATCCCTATAAAAAAAAATTGTACCTATGTATTTTTAATATTTTTCAATTGCTATTGTAACAATGTATCAGGATCCTTGTATTCAATTTTTACACTTTTTAACCCAACAGATAAAACTTTATTGATATTTATAGAAAAAAACACTAAAAAAATTGAAAACTGAAAATGTCCGTAAACAGCTCAAAAAGAGTCAAAATATTTTCAAAAGTGTATGGTGTATAGGAAATGCTAATATAAATGTTCAGTGAAATTTTCATGTATCTACAGTTATTTTTGAGTTACAACAAAATAAAGAAATCGCTACATGAGAAATCGAGTGAATATCCTATGTTGTAAAAATATCAATTTCAAACGCTCATAAAAATTTCATTTGACTTTCTTATTGACATTTTTTTTTTGATAAAAGTAGACAAGCTTATAAGGAATCTTGTATTAAATTTTCATATCTTAGATTTAAAAAGAAAAATATTTATGAATTCTTAACTCAAAATAATTCGATTATTTTCGTGATTTTTCCATGTTTTGTCAAGATTTGAAATTTAAATGCTTTTAAAAAAAAACTGTGACAAAGGATTTTTAATATTTTTCAAATGTCAATGTAACAACATAGTAAGAGCCTTGTATTAAATTTTCGAGTACTTTTACTCAACAAATAATGTTTTATTGACATTCATAAAAAAAAAAAATGTATACAATTTTAAACTGAAAATGTCCCTAAACAGTTCAAAAATTCCCGTTTTTCTTTTTTTAAAAAAAACACATCATTGTAAAATCAATACATTCATCGTTCCACTCAGAATCTAAAATTATATATTATATAGTGTCTTGTAAGTGGTGTAATGTTTAGAACGTTTTCAAACTTGTTTTAAAAAATACTCACGTAATGTGTTATCTTAAAAAATTGCAAAGTTACTCTTGCGTTACCAAAAAAAAATACTGTCAATGTCATCATAACGTTACATGCAAAAATAACTACGATACACCAACACATGGTTCGGTTGTAACGTTTATAAAACCTAACCACGGTTCACAAAGTACCTACAGATGGCAGTGATTACGCACATTTTGAAGATAATATAGACTATTGGTTAACGTCGTCCATTCGTTCTTCCTATGGTGTATTCAGATCGCCTGTGGTCATTCCCACACTTAACTACGCGAAAGCAAGTATAGATGAGTAGATGTTCTCATCCAACGGCACGCAGCGTATTTAAGTTGCGCGAGTTTTTCCTTACGGCGTACTGGATAGGCAATTTGGGCACTTCAAATTTCTCTAGTTTAGTACAATATTTTTTTAAAGTAAATTATCTATATATTTAAATTAATGTAACGAAATCCAAGTCCTTTAACAGTAATGTCTACTAATAAATGAAATAATAGCAAAATATAAAAATATTATTTTTATTTTGTAAACCGTCTACTGGTTTTAGACGCCGAACTGGTCATGATATTCTTAACGTGTGCGGAGTATTGATAAATCTAAATTATATTATATCATGCTCACAGTAATATCACTATACTTGTAGTGATAGTTATAGTACGTAGTAATTAAGCATATTATGTGAACATGGTCACACGGTCAAAGGAATTCGCTATGCGTGGACAGTTTTTAGTCCGAGCGAGTTCTTCCGTGTCTTGCTTTATTATAAATGGCAGTGTAAATGTGTAATACAGTGACTAGTAACCTGAGCCCCACGATGAACCTCTGTTTTTTAAGTCAGTTCAATTTATGCTATTTTTTAAGTAGGGGGGTTAGGTTAGGTTTGTTAAGGCCCAAAAGTGGAAAGTGAACCATTCATGACACATTTCATACCAAATGTCTGCAGCGCACGCCTGTCATACATATAATATATGTGTATACAATCGTATAAATGTATAATTATAATTATTATTATATGTTATTCTCTTATCAACAACCAGTAGATTTAATGATAATATCATAATTTATTAAACAAACATCATACATAATATATATACAATATACATGTATAAAATATAATATTAATTATGTACAATAACACACATGGACATGCTGTACAAATGTCTAAAATAATATACCCTATTGTAGTTTTAATTTAAAATTTAGGTAAAGGGGAAAACAAATACAAAAATACTACGTAGATATTATATATATATATTATACAATATGAATACATGGTCGGTTCTGTAGTATGGTATTTAAGTAGATCGAAATAGGTGTCCCCATCTCCTGAACAGTTCGAAAACGATACCGTTCGTCCATCCAAATCCTGTCTGAGGCGTATACTCGCCACCCCCACCGGTCGTGCCCACTTCGAGTGCGCTGTACTGTAAATACAGATAAAATATACAATTGAGTCGAAATTAACTTTAATTTGTAATTATCGATGGAGTTGACGTTTAAGAAACCATTTTTTAATGAAATTAATATAAATGCTCGTTTTTACAGAGCAAAAATATTCAATCATTAAATTCAACACCACACTATTGATTGAAAGGTGGAAAACAATTACCTTTTCAAACATAGTGCCGCTAGTTATGTATCCGACGTAATTAGTGTTTATCCATGACTTGGCCAAGTTTATAGCAACAGTCTGGGCAGGTTTGTAGTTTGTGCGGTCTAAACCTTGGATTACCATGGCTTGGAGTGGCGGCCAGCAATTTGGATAGTCCCATTGTTGGGAAGAGTTCACATTGGATGTTGGTACACCTAAATTAAAAACGATAAATAGATCATTTTACATTTGTATTGTACTAATTTAGTATTATTGGATTGTTCAAGTTAAAATTGTTTAATGTCCAGTGCGTAAATATGCATTATTAGTTATATTTAGTTATTAGTTATAACTAAAGTTCAGATTTCAATGCACAGGTATGAATTTTTTTTGGGAATGTCTTACACGATGCTTTTCAAGAATGAAATGTGTTTCAAGCATTCCATGTTGTATAACGACAACATTTTTCTGGGGCATTTTTAACGTTTTGAATGCGTTTTTTAAATCATTTTTGACCTATTTTTCGTATTATTACATAATTTCTTTCATTGAAATATAATTATGATACTGCGTAATATAAATCATTTTTATTTTGAACCATATAACATCATGAAATCTGGTTTTAAATTAGACAAGGCTGAGATTTATCTTTATGTCACATCAACCAATTAGCCGATTTAATTGCATACAACTTTTATTGGAGTATTACCGTGTAGTATACAGTTGGAGACTGGAGTACAGTGTAATACAAATGTAATTTGTTAAATTTAATTTTTACTCATTTTTTTGTATTTATAAACGTACTTACAACATTTACAATATGTTGAATGCATTTTTTTGATAATTTTAGGACATTTAAATCCAAGCCCTAGTTATTCCTTATTATGAACGTACAAATATAAAATTTACAGTAATAAGTCTAATTAATAAACTATTTAATATAATTTTTTATATTCTGTAATGCACCAAGTTATGCATTTTATTCCACTAAGTTTAAAATATATTCCTATAATCATATGCATAAAAACGTTTAACTAGAGCAATTTTTTAATTTATATCATTTTTTTTCAGCTCTTTATTTCAAAACCTATATTCTAACTGTTATTTTTAAAAAATGAAAATATATGTATAATTATGATATAGCCACTGTACAAAGACACGCGTCTCATATCACAACAATAACCCCCACTCACTTTCCAATTTATCCCACACACCAAGCCCGGAAAAGCGAGATATCGTCTCATATTTATTTTTTTAGTGAATTTTTACTGTATATGGGTGTTTACTGGAATGCCCGCTAGGTCGACCACAGCTAGCTCGTGTGCGGGGCCCGCCACTTGACTATTTTAAGAATACTATAATGGTATAACAAAACCAAAAAATTTTGAAAATTATTGAAATTTTTATAATATATTAATTTGACATTCAAATTTGTAAATTTTTTTTAGACATTCTGAGCGGGGCGAGAGATCCATAGATATATACAACAACTAGATAGCCGTCTCCTTCTTGTCATCGAAGTCGGCCGCCATTTACAAAGCAGGCAATGTTTTACAAAAATATTTACAATTACAAAAAATCGCTAAAAATGGGATTTTAATTTCTAACGCTTTGTTTATCACCATAGAAATGAATAAAAATAAAAATAAAAATAACGACTTTAGTTATTTTGTAGTAATTTATAATATTAATTCAACTTAAAGGCTATAATGAAATATAATAACAATATAAAATATCCTGACTGACAAACCGCCTGAGCTCAGAATCGTTTTTCGTATACAACGATAATATGATATCATTGAATTCAAATTTAATACAATCCATTATACAGTGCCCCACTTGTACTTACTATACATCAGAGCGACATCCACTTACCCACTTTTTTTATACTTTTATTTGACATAAAAAATCAATACAAATTAGCACAATAAGTTTATATGACGAGTGTAGTATATGACATGAAAGGTATGATTAAAGTAGCCACCCATTAGTGACTCTTGGCAAATTGATTTTTTTTTTGAATTTTTGAATTTGTAAAATAAATATTTTATTGAATTTATTGTTGAAATTATTTGTCCGTATTCTTAGTGGGTATAGCGTAGACGTTGTCTCATTGTCTCCTATGACACTTCACCACTGTAGTTGACATATTGGAGGCTCAAAATATACTGAATTAATAAAATATTTGGAAAACACTAACAAAAACTCAAAGACATTAATCGTTTTTTTGTATACAATGATTTATCATTCAAATTTGAATTCAAATTTAATACTTCCCTCGTAGTTCTCTTTAATAGTTTGTGTAGGTAAATTTTAACTCAAATTATTAATGTACTATTAGGATTTTATACTTACAAATTAATTTTGGAGTTCCATCTTGATTGATAACACCGTTAACTATTAAATAGTCCAATACCCGTTTACCATAATACGTTCTAAGTTTTCTCTCGTAACTACCAGTCCACAATGGTGCAAAATTGGACGTATAGAAGTACTTACGACTTAGTTTAGTGGTTAAGTCATAATCTAACCAAATACCTTCTTCTTCGTTCCACAGCAACTAAATGTCCATACCAAATAAAAAGTTTTTAACACATTTTACACCACATGAATATAATATTAAGTATTAAATATCACTAACCGCGTTAATTCCAATCTGAAAACGGTGACCGATGTCATTATAATATTTGAATTTAGCTTGATTACCCAGTAATTTAAATAATTGAGCAAGAACCACTGCGTTAGCTTGTAATATTGCGTTTAACTCTACGTAAATAAAATTTTGGGGATCCGTATTAGACAAATCTCCTGAAAATAATAAAATTAATAACCTACATGATAATAAATATATACACAAATAAATCTAACTAATTCATCGATACACAACCAAAAAAGTATATGTATATTGAAAAGGGCCACTAGCCAGTAAGGGTAATTAATAATATTGTTTAATGTTTATTTTTTGTAATGATTACAATATTTTACAATAGGAATTAATGTATAAAAAAAATTATTTAATTTAATAATATGATTGTTGTAATTAACTAAATAGTTAAATTATTAATAAAATCAATTTAAACAAAGATATCTCTCATTTCTTTGAGAATAAACTAAGTTGTATTTTAACAACGTATTTAGAACATAATATGATATTATTATGTTGAAATTGTATTCTTCATTAATAAGATAATCATATAAATTGATTTAGTTTAAGTATTGAATATACTTTTTAAATTCTGTAATAGATAGTTAATATACGTTATACTTATATGGTATATCGGTATAGTAAATTGTTTGCAAATGTTTGTAACCGAAACCGATCAATAACGATAGATTTACTATAGTAATACTATAAATACTAACAATATGATATTATTGAATGTTAAGAATATTTTTGCATTATTATATTCATAAACAATTGTGTTAAATTCATTAGTGTTATGTTATTAATCAAAATGTATTTATTCGATTTAGTAAACAATAACAAGTATTATATTTCCTCAAAGAAAAAACATGCGGTGGTTGAATATAGTTATATTAATTTACTTAATAATTATTACAATTCATGGTAGGTATACTTTTAGCTGTGTTAATGCGTGGTTTTTGTTTGCAACTTATTTATTTAAATATTATGTTTTATGTAGATTGTATACGATTTTTT